AATATATAGTGAACCTGTGTGAATTCACGGAGTCCATCCAATCAAACAACAGGAAATAAATAATGGAGAAAGAGAAAGAAACCTTGAGATTCTAAGAACTAATGGCTGAAGACCTCCCACATCCAGGGAAAGATGTAAACGCACAGATTCAAGAAACTCACTGAATAGGACAAACTCCACTCCCTACAAACATCTGACAACTAACTAATGTGCATCAACATGTTACAATCAAACTGGAAAAAAATGACAGAGAAATCTTGAATGAGGGTGGAGAAAAACATGAGGTAACAGGTTAGGGAGGTAACCCTCTGAGTGACTGTACAGTTCCCACCAGAAATCCTGTAGGAGTAAAGGAAATGGCAAAACATTTCACAGCGGGGAGACTACTGTCAATACAGAAGGCCATATTCAACGAAAGTATTTTCCAAAATAAAGTGAAATAAAAACATTGTAAAACGAAAGAGAACTAACAAAATCCACTATAATATTGAATCTCTAAAAAAAATACTTAAGAGCTTTCCTTACACTAAAAAGAAATGATAGTAAACAGGTATTTAGGTCTTCAAGATAAAGAAATTGAAAAAGGTAAAGTCTAGGTAATTATAAAAGATTTGCCTTAATACATTTTAAAATTATGCATAGCTGTTGAAAGAAAAATGTCTGGTGGCCCTTTCAATGCATGTATATAAGTTGAGTAAGAATGTACATATATGTATGTGTGTATATATATATATATATGTGTATATGTATGTGTGTGTGAATTATGATATAATCATGGGAGAACAAATAACTTACATCCTAGTAAGGATTTTTCTTTTATTTTTAAGATTATAATACAATTACATTATTTCTCCCTCTTTTTATCCCTCTCTCTAAATCCTCCTAAATACCACTCCTTATTTCTCTTTCAAATTCATTACCTCTTTTTTTATTATTGTTATTACACACATTTATGTTTAAGTATATAAATATATATTCCTAAATAAACCTGCTCAGTCTAGACAACATTACTTGTATGTATGTTTTCAGGGCTGATCACTGGTATTGGATAACTAACTGGTGTGCGCTTCCTTGGAGAAGACTACTACTCCTGCTCTCCGCGTTTCTTAGTTGTCTGTAGTTCTCTATCTCTATCCACTTTGGCATATCTATTGTTGTCCTTGTTCAGCTCACACTTGAGCAGTTACATTGGTGAGACTTTATGGGCTGTAATATACGACGTTACTAGGGGACACACAGTCTCACAGCAAACTCCATGATTCTCTGGCTATTACAATCTTTCAGCCCCTCTTCTGCAATGTTCCCTGAGCTTTAGGTGAGGAAGTGTTTTGTAGCTGTATCCATTAGAACTGAGCTTCACAATCCAGCATTTTGATGGGCGTGGTTTTCTATAATGATTCTTGATGGGGGTGAGAACTCCTTGTAAGGTTTTATACTTTTCTTGATGGGGTCAATAACAATATTAAGATATATCTATATATCACTAAAATAATGAATACAGATAGATATAGATATAGATATAGATATAGCCAGTAGACAAATTAAAACAGAATGCTGAAATAAATTCAAATAATCAAAGAGAAAAAATAAATGGAACACAGAGAAACAAAAACAGAAGAAACACATTTTTAAATGAGAAAAATGCAAGCCTATCAGCAATATATTAATTATAAATGGCTTAATTACTTAATTAAAAACCAGAGACTGTGAAAATGCATAAAGGAAAACCAAACCATTCCTTTCTAGAAGAAACTCACAGTAAATACAAAGCATAGGAAGGTAAAAAGAAAAGGATTGAAAAAGACATGCTATGGACTAAAATAGTAAAAGTATAGTGTACTGGATAGAATTTGGGGGGGCTATATTTAGGGGTCTCAAGATAATAGACCACAGAAATCACTCCTATCTCAGAATTCTCTGGACCCTCAGAACATACTGCCTCTGTCTCGCATCCAGCTGCTAAATATCTGAGGAAATATAAAATCACCATGGTTTGGAAAGGGTCAGTTCCTGCATACCCACCAACACCTTGCTAGAAGAGGTTTTGTTAAGGTAACCAGTGGCCTCCACAGGTCAAGTCTAAAGGACATTTTCAGCCTCTGCTCTACTGTACTTCCAAAGCCCCTGACACTATTGACTACAGATTCTTCTTGCAATATTTTGTCCCCATGGTATATTTTTTGTTTTTCTTTCACAGCCTCCTTTATAACCTTTATCACTCAGGAATTATACGTTGAATTTTCCAAGATTTATCCTCAGGCATTTTTAGACTGAATTTTAAGAATTAGTCAATGAAAAAGAAGAAGACAGGCCTCAGAAAGAGCAGTGAGCTCAGTTTTTGGAATAAACTGATGCTGCCATAGACAGAAAAGAACACACAAGCTACAGTACAAAGCAGAACAAAATGATGCCACTGAAAGTGCTAGGCTAGCAGATAACCTTCCTGAGGTGATGCACTCAATTTTCTATCTGAATAAAGGTTATTAAACTAATCACTCACACACACACACACACACACACACACACACACACACACACACACACCACCTATCTACTCACTAAGTATAAGTATAAGTACATGGCAAAGTCCAAAACAGCTGAACATTTCTCAGTCGACTTCCCAATATCTGCATTAGGAAGTAGTATCATCATTCTCACTTGCAGTTGAAAATTCGGAGATCCAAACCTCATTGTTAGCAATGGACAGAACTAGAATCCATGTACCAGATGCTGCTGAGGCAACCTGTCCTTCTACCTTAGATGTGACTTAAAATCCTAAAGCTGATTACTACATCCAAGGACAAGGAAGCAGTTTAGGAACTGCATTTATAAAATGAACCACTAAACTAGCAAAAATAACCACCTACATCTAGATTTCTTACTGTTATAATAAGAACCCATGAAATAAAAACACTGTATTTTTAAAAGTAACAGAAATGCACTTACTATATGGGTTATAATTCATAACTATAATTTTCTGTTATAAAAAGTCATGCTAATTTTTGTAATGTATACTTAGTAGAATTCCAAATGGAGACACACTCAAAGCTCATGCTCTTAACCCACCAAAAACTATTGCCTCATATCCATATCAGACGAAGTCTAAGGCTTGCTTGTCTCCCTCCCTCAAAGTTCTTGAGAGGTTTAAATTAGAAAGAGCACATGCAAATGCCTTGACAAACAAAATCATCATGAAGATGTGTTACTATTTTAGAGATAGTGATGCTCAACGAGAGAAATCAACAAAAGAGCACACACACATAAAGACCCTGTGCTTCCCAGGATGATAGATCACATCCCAGGATGAGTCTTCACAGTGAATGTGTTCCCTTCATGAGAACCATGGCAAGAATGAACACATCTCACGTGTGAGGTGATGACCAAGTGTGTTTAGACCAGAAAGGTGGTTTGGGTATAACAGTAAGTACAATTTCATCAAAAAAGTAAATGGTTAAAAAAAGTAACAATTAGAAAAACAATTCTGTTCATCAAGTTTTGCCTTTCTTAAAATACAAGCAATTAGTTTTCTGTGACTAATAGTAACAAGCAATAAGGATTGGTACAACCCAACCCAGTTAACATAAGCTAAACAGTATAATACAATTATAACAGAGAATAAACATGAAGAAAGGTGAATACGTAAATTCAAATGTTCAAATGTGCAATGTTCCCTCTTTAATCTTAATCTCTCTTAGTAGAGGTCAAAGTATCATTAAGCTCTCATTAAAAATCTAATAAAGGATAAAAAAAATTGAACTGACACCCTAGGTCCCAAGTAACTGGCTTTTGATATTTATTAGGTAAATTCCTAATATGCATGTTCCTAAATATTAGGTATCGACTGTGGCCAGACTGCTCTTGGCCCACCCAGGGTGTCTTTGTGGCCATGAAGAACACCTCAAAAGTACTTGTATTTGTAGAGTGTATTTGGGGTTCAACTGAGCGCAGGGAGCAAACAGACAATGCACACCCGTGAAATACCTCATGGGTCAGTGGATGACGGGGGCTATGGCAAAAAGAGGAAAGCAAGAAAGGTAGAAATGAGGGGCAAAGAGAGGCAGAGAGGAGTGGGACAGGAGGGAGGGCTTGGTTGCTGGCTGCTGTTCCAAACACCACAGTCCCAAAGGTGTCACTGAAATGCTGGCAATGGAGCTGAATCCGGAAGGAAAAAGCCGAGCCAAACCACAGCTGTCACCAACCTAAGGTCAGCCAGGTTAGCTCCTGGGCCGCTAAGCATCATCGTTTGAAACAGGCCCACAGCTGAATCTCGAAACTGTAGTTTTTACTCAGAAGTCACCCCCATGCATCATAACCAAATCAAAAAAGGAAAACATACAGTCCAATTACTAACAACCCTCTGAATGTCTGTTACATTCCACTACATCACGAATATATTCATTTTATAAAATTCCCCAAATGCATATCCCAAATGTAGAATTTATTTTATTTTTAGTTTTAAATTAGCCCAAATTTCATCATGGCTAAAATTTTAAGACATAAAATGAGTACTGAAACAGAATTTTAATCATATAGATGAATCACAACATGCATCTTTAGCTAGGCATGTATTATGAATAAGTCTAGTTTTCTACAGAGAATAATCACATGTTCTAATTACCATTTTGGTTATACGCATAATTAATAATATTCCATCTTAATGGGACACACTGAATCTTCAGACAGTTATAAGCTTTAACTATGCATACTGCCAAACCCAGCCGTCAGTACGCTGCCAAACAAAGGAGTCCTGATGTAGTGTTGGAGTGTGAGAACAATATGCATACCTCTGTACATGATACAGTGGAAAAATTAATCGCTTTTTCTCCTCTCTAATGTTCCTCCATACTAATTTTATGTTATTTGATTGATCACTTATCCTAAATTACATAAACACACACTCACACACAGATACAGCCAAATGATCTTGCGGGCAATAAAAACATGAATATACATGTGACCCAAGACCCAAGGAAGACAAAAGCATTTTGGTCTGAACTTACTGATTGTAAACTTTCATTCTCTCTTAGACAAGCTGTGTGGAGCTCGGATTTCAGAGTTGCAATGTGATTTCGGTGCGACGTCATTTCCTTCTCTAATGTAGAGATTCTAGCACTTGCAAGCTGGTAGACATCCAAGAAACTTTTAATCATGGCCTTAAGAAATAAAATTAATGTCACTTACAATTCACATAAAGTTGTCCCCAAAGCAGAATTTCTGTCATTTGAAAGCAAAATCACGAAAATAAAAAATAAACAATTTTTATAGTTTCTAGAAAATAAAGATAAACCTCCCATTCTATATGGCAAACAATCCCTGAGGAAGCTCCAGGATGGGGTGGGGGATAGGCCCTTGCTGTGTAAGGGGCCGAGTTCAATCCCAGAACCCACGTAAACAGTTAGGCATGGTGGTGCCCATGTATGGCCCTGGTTTGTGGGGGACACAGGAGGATTCATGAGGATCACTGGCCACCTTAATACTCTGTCTCAAAAAAGCAAGCTGAATGGCCCCTAAGGAACAATACTGACTGCCACATGTGTACATGTGCACATATGCCTCCACATGTGCATACATACTTGCACACAGGGATGCACACATGTGCAGAAAGATAAACAGGTTTGGGAAAATAATAATTGAGTCTTTATTCCAGAGGATTTATTTAAATGAGATGTACTTTGATCTATTGTGCTTAAAATTTAGAACACAGGTTTTAAATATGACACACTTCTTTTCTGTACTAAAATTAAATTCAGGTTGTAATTTGACCTAAATTTCAATCTTGTAAGAGACAACACATGGGTATATGAATAACATATTAATATTTCATAATGAGCTGAGTTAGTAAAACTTGCAATCTACCTAACAAATGTTTTGAAACAAAAGAGCTCAAATAATCCTGTGACTAACTGCTGATTCCCATACTGAGAGAAAAGAGTCATTATGTCCACCATATAGCACAGAGGTGTCCTCAGACACAATCTGCATAGTGGTAATAGTAGAAGCAGGTGCTGGATAACTTACCATCTTCCCTACACAGTACAGACTGGGGGATGCTGAGCTCTGCAACATGGCTGAACCATAGTCTATAGACTTTTCCTTAAAAGAAACCTTCAGTGAATTTTAACCCAAAGGGATTCTATTATATCCTCTTCAACTAATCTTGCAAAATGCTTCAAGTACATCAACATTAATTCAAACATTTCAAAGATATGTCCAAAAACAGTATTATAGTATTTATGAAGGAAATGTTCCTACTGCAGACACGCCGTGCAATGACAGACAGAGGCTAAGAATGTGCAAATTACATTCAGTCTGATGGTCTGGACTGAAACAGCCTTGAGAGACCAGGTATTTATTTTAGCAATTCTGAATGCATGTGGAAAATAATTTAGTGAACAAGTAAGAAATAGTGTTAAGTGTCTGAGAAGCAGAAGCAGGCCAGTTACTAGAAAATTCAGGTTTCCCTTAAGAAATTCCTATTCGCCCTCAAACATCCCTCTGAGACAGCAGCTCTTTCAAGAACCATCTACAAAGCCCAAAAACGGTAGTTAGCTTCTGTCCTCGCTCCCTGTGGGCTGCTCACACTGGCTTTGATTGTCGCGTTCATTGGAGATATTTATTATGTTACATGTTTTTCTTCTTTACCAGACAAGCAGTCTGTGAGGCCAGGCTCTGTGTCTACACGTGTCTGTATCCCCGAGAGGGTAGTCCACAGTGGGTATTTGAGTAAATGAGTGAAGTAACAACTTTTGAAGAATGTATTAATTAAAAATTAGAAGAGATGAAAAACTGCAATCTACCTATTGGTATAAATTACCTTATAAAAAGAATAAAGATACTTGGGAAATGCCATCTTCACGTCCAATCTAATGGATAAATTATTAATCACATTTTTTCTCAAGTTGGAGGGGAGAAGCATCATTACATGTATAAAAGAGAATACCTAAATGTAAATTCTCTGCCCAACAGTAAATCACGATACAACCTGGGGTGTGGGTAGATATCCCATGTCCTAGCCTACCCCCACCCTGAGTCATTTTAAAATAAGTTTATATCTAATACTAACAAGGTATTTCCTGGGGTGTCAAAAGTATGTAAAACTCAAGCACAAATGAGGCTGGAGATGTACTTCAGTGGTCGAGTGTATTTATCCCCAAGGTGGCAAAAACATGTGATTGCATCTGTTTCTTCCTATGTCCAATCTCTCTTTGTTGTTCTAAGTTCATTTCTCTTCTCCAATGAGATACTAAATCCGCCCAGTTCTTGCTCTGTTACATACACAGCACTGTGTTCTCAGGAAATACCACACAATCTCCGGGGCCTTCATCTCCTCCCTTGCTACATAAAATAGGAATAAAAGTAACTTTCTTGTCTACTTCCAAACTGTTGTGAGACTCATACAACTAAAACACATAATGTTTGTTAGCTATTTACTACAGTCAGGAACTGTAGTAGAAGCTTTATTGAATCTCTTTATAGTAATCATACAGGGCAGATAGTGTCTTCAATCTAATTTTTCAGGGTAAAGCAGAAGGACATTACCAAGCTAGTAATGTGGCAATGAGATTCAAACCAAGGAACGTGTAAAGCAAAGCTTTTCTCCTAACCCTCTAATTGTATTGTATCTCTTACAAGAAAGGCTTCTAAAGTGATAAACTCCTGAATCCCACGGTAATACTATTGTTCTATTTTAACTTCTGCAGTGAAATCCTAATGACAGAAGCTCTGATAGGTGATTCACATATGTGCGTACACACATGTAAACACAAGTACATATGAATATATTCTTGCTATATAAGGATCTAAAATGTATAAATGACTGAAAACATTCCTAACTGCTTATTGAATGAAAATGGGAATTATTCTTCAATCAGCAAAACGCTCTTAATCATTTCAATGTTAAGTCACAAAAGTCACATCCTTTAATATTTTGAGATGAAACAGTTCAATATTTTAAAAGCAATTCTGTTTCCTAAATTTGTAAAAAAGTATTTCCTGAATTCTTGGATGTAAAAGGAATAGGTAATATGAGATCCTTCAAAACTCGTTTTGAAAACATAAAACATTTAAGGACTTAGAAAACAGCTCTCCCAGCTTCCATAAGGTCCTGGGTTTGAACCAATACCTCAAAATGAACCAAATGATGAAGTACAGGATGCCAGTGAAAAGCCAGTTCCTTGACAAGGAGAAGGGTGCCCCGTTGGCATAAGACATAAAAATGGTGATCTGAACTAACTAAGTGGAGGGGGGAGACAGGGAACAAGCATCTCATGACTCCTGACCAGTCCTCTGAGCTGACGCTCTCACTACATGCCCTATTCCCATATCCAGTTACCACGGTTTCACACGAGGAAAAACAGAACAGCAAGAGACCCTGTGCAGCATGCCCAGAATCTGAGTGTCCTATGTCATCATTCACCCCAGGGACTTAGTCTATATGCTGCAATGAAGTCTGTACCTCAGAGGAGTTCACATAGCTATCTAAGAAACAGGGGGAAAGTTTCTGGACCAAAAAATGGTAAACATTGTTTTATAGATAAAATGTAGTGTTAACAACTGACATTAGCAAGGTGAGAGCAGCCAGACATGTAAAATGCCCCTCTGTCTCCATTACTTTTCTCCTGCTGTGATAAAGCAACATGACCAAAAGCAACTTAGGGAGGAAAGGACTTAGTTTATCTCAGAATTCTCAGGTCATAATCTATAACTGAGGGATGTCAGGACAGAGGATGAAGGCAGGAAACTGGAAGCAGAAACTAAGTGGAAGCCATGGAAGAAGGCTCCTCACTGGCTTCCTTCTTATGGCTTGTCAGCCTGCTTTCTTATACCATCCAGGTCCCCTTGCCTAGGGATGGTACCACAGCAGTGGGCAGGGCCCTCGCACATCAATCATTAATCAAGAAAACGTTCTTTTCCCAGATAACTGAAACTTGGATCAACCTGACAAATAGCTAGCCAGAACATCATCTATTCATTGTAAGGAAAAATATGTGTACTTCAGAATGCAAAATATTCTGTAACACAAGAAGTGAATGTCATTTGAGGACAAAAGTGTTTCCTCTACTACTTCTATACTCCAGATTATGTAGCAGTCAGACTTCCAAACCAACATCAGAGAAAATGCAATCACTAGAGTCCTGACCTAAGAGAAGAAATTAATGAAAAATACCCTAAAATCTGAACACTAAAATAGTGAACCTTTTGTCACACTGTTGAGTAACTGGGAAACAAAAACCTCTAACATTTCACCTAAATTTATAAATATTTTTCATTTCTATGTTCTAAAAGACACCAGGTAAAACTAATATGCCAAAAACACTAAACATATTAAATATAGTTAATTTCCACAAAAATAATTACTGTTTTAAGAATTCATGTAAATTAAATGACTTTTAATACATTAAAAGATCTTAACTATACCATGCATACAAGACACTCAAGTAAATGTTATCTATTATAATAACCATATCAAATTAGGAAAATTAGTGTAGCAAATCATGAAAGATTAAATATTTCTGAGAAGTGTCAGTATTAGACATAAGGTAAAATATTTTAAATATATTTTTATAGATAGTAAAATAGGTCCTTTCTAAAGAAACATCTAAAGTCTAATCAGTAGTTATTTGCTACAACAAAACTTCTCGCTGACAATAAGACAGTACTTATGATACCATACCTAAGGAAGACAGTCTTACAATGGTAACTTATAACTTTTCATATCAAATTTGTTGACACCTGGAATGAATCAAAAAATAGAAACACAAATGAAAACAGCAATATAAAGAATCAATGAAATGAAGAGTTGGTACACTGAAAAGATTAATAAGATGGACAAACCTTTAGCCAAACTAACCAAAAGTAAGAGAGAAGACCCAAATTAATAAAATCAGGAGTGAGAAGGAAAACACTACAACAGATACTGAGGAAACTCGGAGACTCATAAGAACATACTTTAAAACTATAAACTGGAAAGTCTAAAAGCAATGGATGAATTTCTAAATGTACAGGGCTATCTTAGGGATACCATTGCTGTGCTGAAACACCAAGACCAAAGCATTGGGGAGGAGAGGTTATGTGGCTTACACTTCCACATCACTATTTGTCATTAAAGGAAGTCAGGACAGGAACTCAAAGAGAGCAGGAACCTACAGGCAGG